ACATATCTAATAGACAAGCATACAAATAACCAACCAATAATCAAACAGAGCCTTCAGCCTGATTGGAACGCCCCACTGACCTATAGTCTATCTGGTATGCTCACAAAATCTTCAGTATGATTGTTATGCCTCATCGGGCCTTGAGCCTATCTGGAATGTTCTCCGGGCCTTCGGCTTGACTGGTCAGCCCCTCAGGCCTGCAGTCTATCCGGGACGCCCTGGGCCTCTTGGCCTTCAACACATAGCAGGACCGCCTCAACCCAACCACACACAACATGCCAACATATACATATCCAAAACACATATAAGCCCAGTAAACCATAACAACATATCAATATAAACATTACCGGGTTTGTTGACTGACAACACAAAGCAGTACAGTCTTAACCCACCCACATCACATCGACATATACTCAACTAAACATATAACCATACAACAAACAATCAGACAGATCCTACAGATCACTAAGCATAACATCATCCTATATACCAGGATACAAATCTAACATATCACTACAGCATACCAACATGCGATAAACCAGGATAACAATCCAAAGGGCCAACCTTGGTGCCTTCGACCCGTAAGTACAGTAAGGAAAACTCAACTCAATCCGCTGAATATCTCAGATAAAAGCTCGGACTTCCGATCCAGACAATCTCGCGCACTAGCACCAACAAATAACACCACATTAATAATTGGTCCACAACCCAAAGCTCCAAATGGGCCCAAGCACCAAAAAGGATCATATACAGAAAACTAGGGCCTAACAAGGCCCAAAAGCCCAAAAACCACCACCTCACGTCGTGACCAGCCTTTGTCACGTCGTGAGAGCTCACTCAATCAGATCCCAACTCATTACGACTCGACATAGTCAACTCAGCTAAGGAAAAGTCAACGGGGATGCCCTCACGTCGTGAGAATCCTTTCTCACGTCGTGAGCCCCAAGCAGAAGACCAGAAATTGGACCAAACGCTTCTTACGTCGTGAGACCTTATGTCTCACGTTGTGAGAACATAATATGAGGCTAAAAATCCAACTTTTAAGTCCTTAATCCATTAAGCCTTTAATCCTACTTCTTCCAGAAGCTATCAAGGATTCCAAAGGCCAATAAAAACGATTACTTGATGGACATGCATGACCCAAGCATGTCCTAAACCCATCTTAGGTTAAAATGACAATAAATGGCCCCAAACTCAACTAAGATTCATAAATTACAACCACACTCAAGATCCATAAGACCAAATCATGGAGAATGACTCATTGATCCATAAAGTTTCCAACTTTATGGATCCCAAGCATGCAATCCAACATAAACATGCAAAAAGGAGCTTAGAACTTAGATCTAACAATTGAGCTCATAAAGATTTGATCTTGAATACTTACAATGGTCCAAAATATGCATAATATGATGATGATGAAGCCTCCTTGCTGAACCAACACTCTAGAACCTTTTCTTCTTCTTCTTCTAGCCACCAAAACACTAAAATGGATCCAAAATCACCAAGATGGATTATGGTTAGGGTTTTTCTGAGTTAGGGGAAGGTGGAGGCTGAGAAATGAACCCTAAAACCAAGATAAGGGGCTTAAATACATGGGAAACCCTAAAACTTCGTGGGCTTGGGCTGCATCGCTCCTCATGTCGTAAGCTTTTATTTCGCACCTCGTGAGCTCAGTCCCGGATGAAATCTTCATGCGGCCCTCCTCACGTCGTGAGCCTCCATACCTCACGTCGTGAGGACCCCTTTTTCACAAAAATCCAATCTTTTGACCCTCCGAAACCCTAATTTGATTCATCCAAGGACACGGATGTTACACCATTAGTAGAGTAAACAACTGTAAGGTCTGTAATAACTAGTTTATGCTTATGTTTTCTGTATCGATTATGACATCCAAAAGTTTTTTTTAATATTAATGAAATCAAACGCTTTATCAAAAATGTTTGAGTATTTGATTCTACCTTAAAAGAAAATGTTTAGGGACAATTCTGCACTAGAGTATTCTTTAAAGGATACCATGTTTTAAATAAGCATAAAGAAAAAGTTTTATTTGGCCGTAAGAATTACAGATGTGACATCGGTCTCAGGTTTTCATGTAGTGACATAGATCTGTCTCATGACACTCTGGTTCCCAAGCAATTCATACTCAAGTGCGATCCATAAGGGGGGTTGTTGGCCTCCGGTTGATTTGTTCTCTAATGGCCGTATGTGTTAGGGTTGTATGTGCTAGGACTTTATGTGCTAAAGACTTTGTGTATAGTACAATTAAAAGCATTTAAATTTTGTTAAAGCCTCTCTCAAAACCCATATAACTCACGAGTCTTCATAATTATGTACATTTGTGTTGGAATGGAGGTGGAAGGGAAGATCGTCGATAATAAGAACTGCAATGGAATCAGAGAAGGTTGTAGAACCCTTTCTCTTTTACTATAAATGTTGATATCATTTTGTAACACTAAAAATAGTAAATTCTGTTAATGCTTTGAAATTTTTTGTAAAAACACATTTTTATTGATAATAAATAGTATTTTAAAAATATGGTGTTAGTCTAGTGACGGAACTTGAAGTGCTGATTTGGAGGGGCCGAAAATAAAATATGTATAAAAATTGAGGAATAGAGGGGGGGGGGGGGCAAAGTCAAAATTTCTAGTTTTAGGCTTAATATGTAAAAATTTTAATACTTAAGGGTTAGTTATGAAAAAAAAACAGAGGGGCCACAGCCCCTCCTGGCCCTACATAAGCTTCGTCCCTAGGTGTTACAATAAGTATGCATGCAACTTGAGAAATATATTTCTTTTGGCTAAATTTACAACAATGGAGGTTAATGTAGCGGTATGTACGTATGTAAGCCTCAGAGTTCACAAGCAATGTAGATTTTTGTTTGTTGTTGCGTTCACTAGCAATGAAGTGGACCATAGGCATACTAGCAATGAAGTCGATTGTAGTCATACTAGAAATGAAGTCGACTATAGGCATTGAAAATGTAGTTTGCTTTGTTTTTATTATATGTAGACAAAGAGTGATAAAGTTGCATGGTATGGTACAAAAGGGAAGATTTTATGAAAATTTATTTCCAAATCTATCACTATCAAAAGGACAAAAGTTGTCTTTCACTATCCAACTGACAAAAGTTGGTATGAGTCAAACTTTAGCCTCACTTATTGCCAGTTTGCAAAAATATGCACAAGATATCACACGCACCTCTTCTCCTCTCATTTATCTATTTGGGCCAAAGACAGAAAACAATGGTTGCCAACACAAAACAACCAACAAGAAAAACTGATGCCAGCCCAATTACCAAGAACCAAGACATAAAGTGGGCCAAAGAAAATCTCAGTGGTTTTTTCCATACCAGCTTCTTCGATACGGTCTGATCCGGTTTGTATAGGTTCGGATAAGTTTCAGTTTGACTCGGTTTAAATCCGATCCGGTTTTAACTTTGTTGACTCAAACCAGACCGGTTTTAAAACCGATCCAGTTTCCAAAAAGCCTGGTTGCACACGGCTAGCTATTTCACTCCACTCTGGTAAACGGTCCGATTTCTATATTTATTTTTATAAAATATGCAAAAATGATTAAATACACCATAATAGATTTAAACATTTTACAAATAAAATACTTTAATAACTACAGAACAACAACATATAAAAAACAAACAAAATTAAATAATTTTAAAGATATTTGAATATTGAAATGGCGGTGTACGGTGGTATCATGCCGTATGCATCTTGATTCTTGGCATGCTTATTCTTGTCATAGGTGAGTGATTTTGCTGGTTACTTTGTTATTTAATCGTGGATCGATAGCTTTACATCAAGAAGCATCTTATTAACTATATATAGGTCAGATATACTAGAAGACAGTGACACTTCAACAGTTTGTAAGTATATTTGTTGGTAGTTTGTCTGTTCTATTCTAACTATATATTAGAGGATAAACTTGGGGGTTGGTTAATACTAATTCTAATTGTATATATCTGCTGTACGTATCTTGAGGTTCTGAAAGACGCACAAACGATCTCCCGAACCTTACTTATGAACAAAGAATTCACAGGCTACGTTTTGCTTTGAATTAAATGCTGAGGATGAAAGGAAAATGACTGATCAACAATGTGTAGTCGTAGAATATTATCGATGTAATTAAATGGCTTTGGCTACATGGAAGTTGATGAATCAAATCACGTGACAGCGATGTCCTTTGAGCTAGTCAATTTCCTTGCGTTATCGGATAAATATTAGAATGTTTGAACACCATCATTAAGTAATTAAACAAACTTTACGGATATAGACTTTTCACCTGTTTCATGAAATCTTTAGCTGTTTGACCTCAAATAGAATCACAGAGCTGGGGTTAAATCAGATAGTAGGTGCGATGATGTTTATATCTTTAATCGATATAAAATCATAAGTCATAACCTATGTATTTTTTTTTTCATATATAATAACGTATTACTGTATTACAGATTCAAAAAGCCATTTACTTGTATTTTTTCATCTGGGAATTAGAGATTTGACTGAATGCTTTAATGTTGCACGCTAGAAAATGCCTGCTTAACATATGGCACATGCACCTATCATTTAAGAATTAGCGATTTTTGCTACAATGCCGCTCTCACATGTTCTATAACCTGCATATCTCATTAATACTTTCAAGATTTTAGGTGTCCTTTCTTTATCTTGCTTATTATATCATCTTTTATGTTTGACTCTAGATTCAACTTTCTTTGTTCAATATTAAAAAGATCCAAAAGTCTTGTTTCTTAATGTTCACATGATGAGAGAGAGAGAGAGAGAGAGAGAGAGAGAGAGAGAGAGAGAGAGAGAGAGAGAGAGGAACCTCATATAGAAGCTTGAACATGTCAGTGTCAGTGAGAGTAAGATGAGGAATGTGTATTGGGAACTTAACTATATTTAAGTAACCAAACTCGTACCTCTTTCATCCATTCTTTTCTAAAGAATTCAAATATTTTCAGGTGACTTAGGGTTCAAGTCATCAAGAAAAAGATGAAAACCCTTTCAGGAAGATCTGATGTTCCCGCGATGAGCATCAAAACAAGGGATGATAGGCGATTCTCAACAAGTTCAAGGCGTTCATCAATGGAGATGGCAATACATCATTCTTCTGTAGAAGTGTACTATGGTCGTGCACCCGTTGGAGTCCCATTTAAATGGGAATCCCAACCAGGTACTCCTAGAGTGCGGTTTCGTGAAACCCCACTTCCTCCACTCACACCACCACCATCTTTTCTGTTCAATTCTCCCAACACACCGAACAAAAAGAACCAAAAACCTAAAGGTGGTATTCTATATGCTGTCCTCCCTAGGCTCATGACGCCTACTAGAAAACCCTATAATTCTCCTGCTTCACCAGCTTCATCGGAATCATCTTCTTTGTTCTCTACTTTGTCGTATTCAGATTCTGCATCATCTCCTTACACCCTGAACAGGGAGAGCCGCAGAAAATCATTTGAGGATCAAGATAGATCCAAATCACCTGTTTCAACTCTTTGTTTCCGCATCAGGTGTGGTGCAAAGTAGAGGCTCATTGCAAGAAGATCAACCATATATGGTGGCTTTGTAACTTCTTTAATTTTATACCTTCGATACTTGAAGTCAAGAAATAAATGCAAAGATGGTTCCTTTTTTTCACAAAGATGCTGTAAAAGTAGAATAACTATACGTTATGCGCGCAATACTTTTAGATCTAATTAAGATCAATAGTTTACAGAACTATTGTGGTTTTTTAGTATGAACACCAATGGTGATTCAGATATCACATCTTCCTGATGTACATGAATGGTGAATCTCTATTGTGGCTATTGATTTTAGTGTGTATCTTGAATCTTGATTAATTGCTAAAATGTGGTATTTGATATTTAAAAGTTCACTTGGGGTGCTTATTGTGATTTTACTTTTGTATGTGCATTTACCCATTGTGATCTTCTTAAATTAATATCGTAAACTGATCTAATGTAATCGTGCAGTTACACAATATTATAGATTTACCAGGTAATATAATTACAAATATTTTAGAGTTTAGGGTGGAACTATTTTTGGAGAATGCACTGGTTGTCGCATTTATAATATATTCAACTATACAATAGTTAAACATTATTATTCTATTTTTCATACAACTTTATTATATTTCCTTACAGTATATATTTTTTGTTTTTTGAAACGACAATTTCGTACAATATTTAACTCCACAAAAGTTCAATGAAACATTTATTTTAAACCTAAAAAAGATATTTAATTTTTCCAGTTGAAGAGTTGAAGAGTTAATGATCCTTGAACTTTCAAATCCATTCAACATCAATGCAATATCCTAATATGATTGAGTTTAATCCATTGAATGTCAACTAAACATCTATTTTCATTCAACTATTCTATTAAAATATGTATTGCGGATGCTCTAATATATATGTATCGATCAATAAGGGAATGTTTTATGGAAGTTATTTTTATTTTACTTCATAAAATCATTAGAGATGGTAAAACTTATATAGTTATATGTAGGACATGCATGGTGGTAATTGTAAGTTTACTTATGTTGGAACTTGCTTTGATTACAAGCAAAAAAGTGTGCAGCAAGAAAAAAACGTAAGATGTGAATTGAAACAACTTTTCTCTTAATAAACTAATAAAAGTTTCTGCATAACTACAATAAACCAACGTCCCTTATTTATACTAATCTAAACGAGTCCTACTCAAACACATAAACAAACTTTCCTAAAAAGATGAAACTTTCCTATTAAACAATATGGATCAAAACCAATTAACCAACAATCATCCCCTTAATTGGTTTGATCATACCACTCGTTCAAAACACTGCCAGTTCCTCTTCGATTAGACCCGCTTCTTATTTTTCCCATTTAGGACACTCGTTGCTATAGTGAACAAACTCACCACATTTGTAACATCTAACGTGACTTTTATCCCGGACACGTTCATTGCCATCCCGACTTCTCCCGGACCCCAGACCTCTTCCCCGATCACGTCCAAATTCATCCCGATTTGAACTATCATTGCCACAATGCTTACAAACATGTGATTTTTCCTCACTAGTCAACAACAACCCACCTTGAGTATCCTCCACTTTCTCAGTTCCTCTTATACGCTCTTTGTATGCCTTCAATCTACCAACCTCTTCATCGAATAACATTGAATCCAACTCGAAACATTGCTATATTGAAGCCACGATTTGAAGAAACGACTTAGGCATCGAATCAAGTAACATTTTCACCAAATCGACTAGTTCAATCTCGTAACCAAGACTCATTACTTTTGACGCTAATCCGGATAATTTTTTCACAAAATCATCGACCGTTTCACCCTCCTTCATGCGCAAGCTTTCAAGCTCCCTTTTTAAGGTTGCAAGTCGAGCCGTTCTCACCCGATCCACACCCAAATATCGTGTTTTCAGCCCATCCCACACTTGCTTTGGATCGGTGTAACTCGCCATTTGCAACACCATGTCTTCGGGTATCGCTTGAAATAAAAAAGCAAGAGCTTGTTTTGACTTCTTTTGATCCGCTGCTTCACCTAGCTCCTTTGGTTCGACCGTCTCCCATATGTCGTGTGCATCCATAATCGACTTGAATTTGACCGCCCACACCGGATAATTCGTTGGAGTCAAAATCGGAACTTGATACTTCATCGAACCTCCTTCTTTAACCAACGACATCCTATTATTTTTGACAACCCCGACTTCTTTAATCAAGTTTGTTCCGAGAGCACTTTTCCACCGAACAACAAGACAAGGTCACAACCACCTTTACCGTCTTCCGTCACCCGCAAAAACAAACCGAATCAAAGCCACCTGCTTTGACGTCTTCCCGTCCGTTTATTCCGTGCATCCGGTTAGTCTCTCATAAGTCCAATTAAGAGAAACCGAGTTTGCTTGTAATCAACCTCGAATCACACCCCCTTCAAAGAAACCTCTCTGATACCAAGTGTAAGTTTACTTATGTTGGAACTTGCTTTGATTGCAAGCAAAAAAGTGTGCAGCAAGAAAAAACAGAAGATGAGAATTGAAACAACTTTTCTCTTAATAAACTAATAAAAGTTTCTGCATAACTACAATAAACCAACGTCCCTTATTTATACTAATCTAAACGAGTCCTGCGCAAACACAAATAAAACACATAAAAAATAAACTTTCCTAAAGGGATGAAACTTTCCTATTAAACAGTATGGATCAAAACCAATTAACCAACAATAATGAGATCACAATATATAATTTTTAATGTTTTATGTATGAATAAGAAAAGGGCATGGGTTTGGATGATCCGTTACATTTTGAATTTAAATGGTAATTAACGTACCCAATTTTTTTCTCTTTATTCTAATAAAAGAATATGTTTATTCTTCTTTTGTCAGTGTCACCTATTAGACCTCCTAATCAATATCATGTCATTTGTTAACCTATTGATTCTCAATTTCAAATTTTATATTTTCCATTCTAACTACATTAAATTAATAACATTAGAATAAAAATTAAAATAAAATTAATGCAAATTATAAGGTGATATAATTTCACGTATTTATTCAAATCAACGGTTATAATTTTATATAACTAAAAAATATCTCTTAATTAATAATTTATTTAAAATATTTGATTAATAATTTAGAATTTTTATTATGAAAATTTAATTAATTTTATAATCGTGATTCCTACGTAGTATAACAATATATATAATTAAGAAATGTATAATGTTGGAATCATTTAAACTAGTGAAGGGACCCATACTTCGTATGTGTCACAAGAAACATTTTCTCCACTTGGCTTCAACAAAAATATTGTTGTGCCTTTGTGAATTCTTCCAGCAACTATAAACATTGGCTTCAAGAGGCAAACCTTTGTCCCTTAGTAGTGTATCTTTCCTTTCATTAACAAACTTCCCAAGAGACTTTTCAATGACCTTGAGTTGAAAAGTCAACAAAAAAATAGGGAATATCATAAGATAGCATGCACGAGAACATCAACAACAAAGATATCATCCAATTATTTAAAACTCATCAATTTCTTTCTTGATAAGACGTTATACTTTGAGAATTTTACTCGATTACAACTATCAAAATTAATCTGTATTTGGATTATATTGCAATAAATGGTACAATTTTCAAAGAATGAAGTAGTATAGAGCAGTATAATTTGATTTATTTGTGTATCTTCATGCCAAATAGATATTAGTAAACAAATCATTAGAGCGCAACTATGTTTTTAAATATCTTTTTCATAAATCAAGTCTGGTTTCAATGAAGAGATCATCTTCATGTACTCCACAGGTTTCAACAATTGTTCGTCGGCTTATGAATTACTGTTCAGAAGCATAATGATAAATAATAAGTAAATCTTAAGGTCATGGCAATAAGTGGTCTGGATGCTAACCGTAATCCATATATCAACTTTTCAATCAAACACAATCCAAAAATCTCAATGTCCGATTTGTAAAAAAAAACCCATCAACGAATCTTTAAGAAACGTAAGAAAACAGTTAGATTATTTATGTACTTTCAATTAAAAATCATAGTTATTACCTTTTTTTCTTGCTCATTCCTTCCCTCTTTAACTGAAATAGCATTAAAATGCAACATATCTTGACAAATTCAGGCAATGGAAATCATATGTCATAAACCAAAATAACCAACATTGCATTCAAACGCTAAAACAGAAAGTATATCAGCAAGTAATTTCTACATGAACAACAGGTCATCATAAAGATTGAGAATGAAAATGACCTTTCAGTAGCTTGGCCTCCAGTATTGCACCTTCTACCTCCACCTCCAGGCTCAGATGATGCTCCCCCATCCATCCATCCTTTAAAGGATACAATAGTATTAGTCACAGATGACATACAAAATTTAAAACAAAGAAATAGAAAAAAAAATTGTTTTAAACATAAATATTATTTCCCACCTTGAGAACTTCCAAGGTCACCGAGCAAATAAAATAGCGTAGCAGAATCTTGTCCATCCCTTTGGAGAACCAAACAAAATGTCAGGATAAAGTTTATGGTGTATCAAATAAAATATGAAGTACATAATTTTAACCACTATACCTAGTGGAAACACCAGAGCCTTTTCCTTTAACCTTAGCAAGATGCTCAGCTTGAACTGCAGACACAAGATTATACAAAAAGATTACCTCCTAAATCCCCATAAAAATACAAAATCTGATTAAAAAAATCACATGTAAGAATCTTGTTCTTTTGCCTCTCGAAGTGATCAAAGAATAAAAATTTGTTCTTTTTTAAGGCTCATTTGTTTTAAACAAACGGAACATATATAATTACCACACAGCAGTGCGAATGCTGACAACATTAATCTGAACACCAATGAAGCTTTTGTGGGAGGTTTGTAAAGAAATTATATTATATACATACATTTATTAATGCAAATGTGAAATGGCATCTAATAAAGAGGTAAATAATGTTTTTTTACCATGACAGCTAGTAGCAAGATGGTAAGACTGACTTGTTGTGCTTCATGCCATAAATGCTCACCATTTGACCTACCAAACCACCTGCCCCACCAGGCCACCACCACTACCGCCACCTGCCTCCTCCCTCTTCTTTATTTCCTTGTCTCACTTCTCAAACTGGCCTTGATGAACCAGATCCACCATAGGTCATCTGTGGTGCACCCACCACTGAAATTCACATACTAAAGGCAGAAATCAAAAATGATTCCAAGAAAAGAGGGGACCATTGCTAGTCACACAAACATTACAGGATTGGTGGAGGAGCAGGGTAAAAATGGGGAATGACGGACAAAAGTGATGCAGTGCATGCCTTATATTGTAGTGGAGTCTCATTGATATAGCAGGGAGAATATTGGAAGCTTCTTATACTTGGAGACCAGTAGCAGCTCGAATTGTTACTACCTATCTTTTTTCTTGATGTTAGTCTTGTTATTTCATCCTTGTTTCTTGTCAATCTTTGCCAAATTAATAGAACATTAATCTTTGAGCATCTTTGTCTTGTTTGGAAAGTATTTCATTACAAATTGGTATCAGAGCACGTCCTTCCTTGGAGTTAACAAAAAAAATGGTTCCACCAAAATACTGTTACAGTGGGGGTGAGAGTGGAGGTTGTGGAAGAAGAAATTGAATCCATGAAAGAAACAATGGCAAACTTACAAGATAATATTAAGGCTCAACTCTCATCTCAGATCTCTGAACAGATGGAAGCCCTTACCAAAAAGTTTATAGAAATAGCAACAGAAACCATCAAAACCACCATCTCTGAGTCCGAAAGCTACATTAGAAGGGATGACGAAACTCCGAAAGGGACTTCAAAGAGTGGAGGAGGGTCGGTAGTGGTGGTGGTTCAGGGGGAGAGCATGGAGGCAGAGGAGAAAACCATGGCGGTGGAACCAATTGGCGATTCCGGAAATTAGACATGCCCTTGTTTGATGGAGAAAACCCTGATGGCTGGATTTTAAGAGCAGAGCGGTTCATCAACTTTTATAATCTCTCAGAAACGGACAATGTGGAAGCAGTGGTGGTGGCTCTAGAAGGAGATGCGCTCCTCTGGTTTCAATGGGAACACAAACGTCGACCCATTACACGATGGAACGAGATGAAATAGCTCCTACTCCGACAGTTTCATCCGATGCACGCAGGTACGCTCTACGAGCAATGGCTAACTCTAAATCAAGCCGGGTCGGTTCATGAGTGTCAAAGATCCTTCATCGAGTTACTTTCCCCACTATGTATCCTACCGGACGATTTTACCATGGGCCAGTTTGTTAATGGGCTCCAAGAAGACATACGTTTGGAAGTCCGAATTCTTGAGCCCAGATCTGTGGACCATGCGATGTCTTTAGCTATCAAGGCTGAAGAGAAATTGCGTTCTCAACACAAAAAGACACCGACATCAGATGGGAATCAATCGCGACTCACATCCACAGGAACCCTATCTGGAACACCTTTAATCACCCCCATTAAAACGACCATATTTTCTAAAAAAACTCATCTGCCCCTAATCGGAGTTCTTACTCAGTCAGCGATCAAAAATGGAGGTTATCGGGCGACGTGAGAAGATTGACTGACAAGGAACTGCAAGCCAAAAGGGAAAAGGGGTTATGTTATCGTTGTGATGACAAATGGACTGCAGGGCACCGCTGTAAGAAGAAGGTATTGAGTTTGATACTTATTGATGAAGACGAGCTTGAGGAAGAACAGTTACAGGCAGGAAACACCGAGGAGACTCCCCAAAACTCACCAGATTCTCTCACCTTATCTGGTATTTGATTAAATTCAGTAATAGGCACCACCAATCCGAAGACTCTCAAGCTCAAAGGAAGGATGTATAACCATGAAGTTGTCGTCCTCATTGACCCCAGGGCAACCCATAGTTTTCTTTTTTTGGCTACAATTCAAAAACTCAAAATTCCAATCATACCCACACCAGGCTTTGGGGGTCTCCCTGGGAACAGGGAAATCAGTAAAGGGAAAAGGAAAATTCCAAGGTATTATGCTTCACATAAAAGGGTTGGACACGCAGGAAGATTTTTTACCACTTACCCTAGGAAAATCAAATGTTATTATGGGGATTTAGTGGCTAGAAAAGTTAGGTCCTGTTACGACAAACTGGAAGACACAAGTGATGAAGTTCCAGATAGAGGGACGCGGGGTTACTCTTAAAGGAGATCCCTCCTTAGACAGGGCCAAAATCTCTCTAAAAACCATGATTAGAACCTTGGGGTCAGTTAGAGGGGGATATTTGGTGCATTTGAATTAGTTGGAAAGTGAACAACTCACAGCCAAGACAAAAGAGTATCCCAGCTTCATGTCTTCTCTACTTCACAAATATGCTACTGTTTTCTCATGGAAAGGAGGTCTACCACCAATGAGAAACCACCAACATGCCATTAACCTCAAGGAGGCAACGGATCCCATGTCGGTTCGACCGTACAGGTACTCTCATGCCCATAAAGAATAAATTGAAAAACTGTTACGTGACATGTTGACCTTTGGAATTATTCAGCCTTCCCGAAGCCCATTTGCCAGTACCGTATTACTGGTGAAAAAGAAGGACAATTCTTGGCGATTCTATGTAGATTACCGGACTCTCAACAAGGCCACGATAAAAGACAAGTTTCCTATACCGGTGATAGATGAATTACATAGGTCAAGAATCTTTTCCAAGCTGGATTTAAAGTCTGGATACCATCAAATCCGGATGAAGTTGGAGGATGTGCCAAAAACTGCCTTTAGAACACATGAAGGACAATATGAGTTTAGGGTCATGCCCTTTGGCCTCACCAATGCCCCCGCCACCTTCCAATCAGTTATGAACGAGATTTTTCGTCCCCACCTATTTAAATTTGTGTTGGTATTCTTCGACGACATCCTTATATAGTCATGATGAAAAGCAACATCTTGGGTATCTCGAAGTGGTTCTGGAAACACTACATCAACATGAGTTGTATGCAAACCCAAATAAATGTGAATGGGGAAAATCACAAATCGCTTACTTGGGACACGTGATATCAAAGAAAGGTGTGGCAGTTGATCAGGAAAAGGTGAGGCTGTGGAAATGTGGCCTACTCATAAAACCTTACGTGAATTAAGAGGGTTTTTGGGGCTCGAGGGATATTATAGAAAATTCATAGCAGGTTATGCTAGCATTGAAACTCCTTTGAAAGATCAGCTGCGGAAGGACTGTTTTGGGTGGTCAACTCAAGCGACTGATGCGTATACTACACTCAAGGTCGCCTTAACTCATGCGCCCATCTTAGCTATGCCCAACTTCTCCAAGCTTTTTGTGGTTGAAACTGATGCTTCCGGGGAGGGCCTTGGGGCTGTTTTGTCACAAGATAGCCATCTGATCGCATATTATAGCCAAGTGTTGGGAGTTAAAAATAGATTGAAATCCGTGTATGAAAAAGAGTTAATGGCAATTGTGTTGGCGGTAAAGAAATGGAGGTACTACCTTATGGGGAGACATTTCTTGATCAGAACAGATCAGCGCAACCTAAAGTACTTGATGGAACAACGTGAAGTAGGACCTGAATACCAAAAATGGATGTATAAGTTGCTAGGGTTTGATTTTGAAATACAATACAAACCAGGAGTTGCTAACAAGGTGACAGATGCTCTCTCACGTTAATTCACCTCACCGACTGAATTATGCACTCTCACTTCTTCCTGGTCAATTCCATTAGTAGACTTGGATATGGAAATAACTACAGATCCCTTCATCCAGCAAGTGATAAAATACTTAAGAGACGGAGGAAAACACCACGTGGGGTACACAATTGACAAGGAAAGACTGATGTACAAGGGAAGGATGGTCATTCCACAAAAATTGGAATTAATTCCCAAATTATTGAAAGAGTTCCATGATTCAGTGATAGGCGGACACGCGGGAGAACTCAAATGTAACGCCCAAAAATTTCAAACCAATTTAAACTTTCAAAAACAACCCAAGTTCCATTAGTTATTACAAAAAGGTTTCCAAATAGTTTATTATCAGAGTATCCCAGAAACATAATCATAAAAAGTGAGGAGCGGTACAATCACGCATTTTCCTTGCCACGATCTCCTGATGTACCTGAAACAATAAACTGAAACTGTAAGCCCGAAAGCTTAGTGAGGTACCCCCAAAATACCCATACACACATAACCATACACATACAACAATGAACAGCACACTATAGGTCCAGTAAACCATCGGGTTGGAATACCCATGGCCCTCAACCATCGGGTTGGAATGCCAACATACTACGAGTCCAATCATCCTACCGGGAGTGCCCACACACATCGGGTTGGAGTGCCCACACACCTACACATACAATAACTACTATGGGTCCAATCATCCCACGGGATGGGATACCCCAGGCCCTCAACCATCGGGTTGGAATGCCCTACCTACTATGAGTCCAATCATCCTACCAGGATGGAATACTCCTGGCCCACAACCATCGGGTTGGAATGCCCTACCTACTATGAGTCCAATCATCCTACCGGGATGGAATACTCCTGGCCCACAACCATCGGGTTGGAATGTCCTCCCTACTATGAGTCCAATCATCCTACCGGGATGGAATACTCCTGGCCCACAACCATCGGGTTGGAATGCCCACATAACCAGTCAAACATGTGCACCTATATCGTATAATCATATAACGGTCTACCAGACAACATACTAGGGCCCTATCATCCTCGGGATGGGATACCCTCCACTACTGCTCAATCATGTGCACATATCACAGGTAATCTCCTACTAGCATACAGGCAATCAGACCACTATAGGTCACTAAGCATAAACACATCCGCCTTCACAGGATACAGATCTAACCGATCATACAAACATATAACCATCCTATCTACCAAGATTTCAAGCTAACATATCGCAATAGTAACTATCTCAAATAACGAATCAAAGGGTCGGCCTTGTGCCTTAGACCCTTGAGTATAGTGAGGATAACTCACCTTGAAATGCTGAACTGAAGAGATAAGATCGAATCCTCTGCTCTCGGCCACAAACTACACCACCTAACACTTGATGAAACCATATCTATAAGTGCCTAATTTACCAGAATACCCTTGGAAGTCAAACTGGTTGGTCAAAGTCAAAGTCCTGGTCAAAGTCAGCCTTCCTGGTTGACCCTACTCGCCGAGTCAACCTAGTGACTCGCCGAGTTCATGAACTCAGAAACCCCACAATTCGCGACTCGACTCGCCGAGTCACCCCATGAATCGCCGAGCCCTTCAATCCGAGTCCTAGCCTGTCCAACTTACTGAGTCCACTCAACTCACTGATCTGGATTAAAACTACATGGGCTAGGGTTTGCGACCCGACTCGT